CCTCCTTCTTTGCGGAGGACACGTTTGGCTATGTTGTAGAATGGTTGGAGATCGAAGTAGTGAACGGCTTGTGCAGCTACGATGAGGTCAACGGAGTTATCTCCGCCGACAAGAGCAACCATTTTGTCTTCAGAGAACTCTGTCGGAGTGTGATGGTAACTGATTCGCTCGTGTTTCACCGCTCGTTTCAGTTGTGCTTCGTTTATGTCTGTGGCCACAACTTTCTCGAAGTACTCTGCGAGCTGTGTAAGTAATTAAACAGAAGTTAGGTTAACTTCACGATCAAGTTAAACAGTTCATCTTCTTCTCTCCTACTCTGAGAAATGAAATCCACTGAATCTAGTTCTTGTACCAGTTTCATCATAATAATGACCTAGTGAAGATAAAAATGGAAATTTTCAGATGAAGAATGAGTAAGCTTACACCAATGGCGGCTTGACCGTTGCCGGTACCGACATCCCAAGCTAATTTGTGTTGACCGGTTCTAGCAGCAAGCTTGGTGAACCAGTCGATCGGATATCTAGGCCTTGCGTTCTGGTAAGCATCGGCTAGTTTATCAGACAAAGCAGCCATTTTCTTTCTTTTTTAATCTCTCACTGTGTTCTTGTTCTTGTCTTGCTTATTACATTTTTGGAAATATACACTGATCTTTATATATATTCAGGATAATGAAATGGAACCAAGTCAATGTTGACAAAGTCAGATCTGGCGACGACTCTTCCTACTTCTTAACCCAAGAATTGGTCTTTCTTCCATGTTCTAAATCTCCTATGAATTTCTTTGTTTTAATCTCGTCTGTACATTGTTGACTTTTCTTCGGTGTCACAACAACTCATGATTCGTAGACATGTAAGAGATCCTAATCTGAAGTTTTTATTAATAAATATTAATTATTTTAATTTCAATTAGTTATGTATTTAATTTTTAATTGTAAAAGAATTTTTGACCAAAAAATAAATTGTAAAAGAATATTGACCATTGACTGCTAAACATGTGGATTTAAGTGTTACACATATGATCCTTGCAGATGTTTGTTTGAGAACCTTTTCTTTTCTTTTTTTCATCTGAAGAAATACCATTATTAATATAATCGTTCTTCACACTACAATCATAAGTTTAAATCCTAAAGACCACTGACCCAAGTACAACCAAGTCTCTTATCCAAAAACAAACCATAGTCTTACTCAATGTACCTTCCACCTAGCCAATCAAAAGCAAACATAACCTTGTAGAGGGAGAGATTCTCTCATCATCGAAGACGTTAAGTCAAGAAGGACTTCTCGTAGCAACGTACGATTGAAGTCTCTTCTCTCTGGTCACACTTCTAGCAATGAGATCAGCCCCTCTATTGGTTATCTTCTCCTCTTTCTGAACTCTCCACCATTCCACACTCTTTAGGACTTCTAGCAGCATCAGCCCTTGTGGTTTGAAGGAAGGCCACCGTCTTGGTCTGGTAATTACTTTGACGACACAAAAATCAATTACTGCAAATATCACTCTGTGCATATGGTGATCTCTCATACTCGATACAGCCCATTGAGTTACTGAAAAAGCCACGTCCTGAAAGAACAAACATGAAGAAAAAGCTTTTCTGCTATAAAGTAGGACTTCACCGAGCGAGTTTCTTAAGACCCATTCTCCTCCAACAAGCCGTTCAGAGGCCGACCATGATATACCCACGTTACACTTAACCCATGTTGATGGCGGTGGCATCCATTTTCTCTCTTCCTTGGACTCATCTTCCTTCTCTTGATGTTGCTGATATGCAATCACTTGTTGCGCTAAAAACCACATGTTAGCTTCATCCCTGGCTTTAGACACAATATCAATGGATAAAAAACAATCCCCTTCAAAGCATACGCCATTCCTATTCTTCCACAAAAACCAAAAAATCCATGAAAACATTTTGGAGATGTCTTCAGGAATATTATGGTTGGCTTTCAGAGAGAGAAGGTAATGAAAATTCGGGTAGTGGGAGGTCTGACTGAATCCATTGAGTGGCGTCGGAATGTTAGATAAAGCCCAAGCCTGTCTAGCAATGGAGCAAGTGAAGATGATATGGTTCACAGATTCACCTACTGCACCACATGTTTGGCAGCAGCTATCGATCTTAATTCCTCTTTTGATTAGGAGTTCAGCCGCAGGGATATCATTACTCAGAGCCCGCCACATGAAAGCTTTAATCTTCGGCTGAGTTTTAACACTCCAAACGCCTTCCTTTAGGCTATTCAGAGATGGGAGGGCTTTTGCTTCATTTGAGACCTCAGAGTTATGATCTCTCATGATCATCCAATATCCAGATTTTGCAGAGTACGAGACACTTTTATTATGGAGCCAGGTCAAGTAATCAGGTTGAGCCGGAGCAGTCTTCAGTTTAAGAATTCTTTCAACATCATCAGGGTAAAACATATCATGAAGTTTCTCTCTATCCCAAGTTCTGCTTCCTTCCACTAGCAAAGCACTAACCCTGAGATTCACGTCAATAATACCATTTTTCATTAATATGGAGCTCTCATACTCAAGCCATCAGCGATCCATTCATTACCTCAGACATAAATTGACTTTGCATCTCCCACCTGCTTCCTTAACCCTTTCACCAGCAGTTCCTTCCCAAACTGAATACTCCTCCAAGCATAGGACGGTCGCGGACCCAAGCTAGCTGAGAGGAAATCACCTTCATCATAATATCTGCTTTTGAAGATCTTAGCAAAGAGGGAGTCCGGTTGGTCTATAAGGCGCCAGGCCTGTTTCGCGAGGAGGGATTGGTTGAAGGTCTGGATTTCTTTGAAAGCTAGACCTCCCAATTCTTTCGCCAAACAGAGATTGTCCCAGCTTATCCAATGAATCTTTTTCTTATGCTCTACCGAGTTCCACCAAAACTCTGCCATCTCTTTTGTCAGATTTTCACAGGATTGTTTTGTCTTAAAACATGACATGGCATAGACTGGCATAGCCATTGCCACAGCCTTCAAGAGCACTTCCTTTCCCCCATACGATAAGTGTCTTAAAAACCAATGGAAGAGTCTATTCTTAAGACGATCATATATATAGGAGAGCATGGCTGTCTTAGATCCACTGAAGCATTCTGGCAGCCCCAAGTAGTTTCCAGTCCCACCTTCTTTAAAAATGCCCATAATTTCCTGAACTTTTGCCTTTATCTCTGGTGGAACTTTCGAACCAAAGGTGATTGCTGACTTGTCAAGGTTTATTATCTGGCCTGACGCTTTCCCATAATCATCCAGGAGCTTCACTAGAGTGGTCGCTTGTGCCTCAGAAGCTTGACAAATCATTAAGCTATCGTTTACGGATAAGAGGTGATGAACCATTGGACCATTCTCCGAAAATTTCAAACCTTCAATCTCATGGTCTCGCTCTGCTTTTTTCAAGAGATGAATCAGCCCTTCAGTACACAGGACAAAAAGAAATGGTGACAGAGGGTCACCTTGTCTAAGGCCCCTGTGGGTTTATCTTTCCAAATGGTTGATCATTCACCAAGGCTGAGAATGTTACTGAGCTGACACAGAACATGACCCATTGAATCCATCTGTCGTGGAAGCCCATTGCAGCTAGAAGGCTTTTCAAGTAGTCCCATTCAACACATTCGTAAGCCTTTGAGATGTCCGTTTTGATGGCCATAAACTCCTTAGAGAAATTTTCATTTGTTCTCAGGTTGTGAACAATCTCGTGGGCAATCAAGATGTTGTCCGTGATCAACCTTTCCTCAACAAAGGCTGATTGAGTAGGGGAGATAAGGTCGGGCAGAATTGGTTTTAATCTACACACCATGATTTTAGACACAATCTTATAGAGAACAGGGCATAAGCTAATGGGACGGAGCTCTATCATGACTTCAGGATCAGCAGTCTTCAGAATAAGGCAAAGCAACTTATAGTTCCATTCAATGGGGAATGTACCTGACTCAAAAAAACCTCTGCACTTCTTATGTCACTTGATCACCAATAATCTGCCAGTATTTTTGGAAAAAGGTCCCTGTCATCCCATCTGCTCTAGGAGCACTCTCTCCCTTGATAGAGAAGACTGCTTCTTTAATCTCCTCTTTCGAAACCTCTCTTACGAGTAGTTCATTCATTGAGTTAGTCACAGATGATGAAAAACCTTGGAAGAAATCAGGAAGATTGGCCTCGGAGGAGGAAGTAAACAACTTAGTAAAATACTTGGTTGCTACTTCTCCTTTAGCCGCTTCTGAATATTGTGGAACTCCATTCTCATCCATCAGCTTATCAATCGAATTCTTGTCTCTTCTTTCTTTCACAGAGGCATGGAAGAATTTAGTGTTCCTATCTCCACATACCGCCCATTTATCTTTGCTTCTCTGAGCCCAGTTTTTTTCCTCGTCTTTATACTCCTTCATCAGTTCATTTTTCAAATAGTTTACTCTGATCGCTCTTGGCACTGCAGCAGATTGTTCTTGCTCTAAGCTAACTTGAATCTGAAGAATTTTATCTCTGGAATTCAGCGTTTGATCCTTTTTCCATTTACTCAAGGAGCGTCGAAATCTGCTAAGCCGGTCTGAGACTGAAGAGCCAAAGATGGGGTGATTGGTAAGCCATGCTTTCCTAATAGTTTCTTTCACCAGGGGTTTATGGAGGAATCTGCTATCGAATGTGAAACTCCCTCTGAAAGGTTCAGCAGCATGAATTAACTTGAGAAGCACCGGCCTGTGATCTGAACCTCTCATATCCATGAACGTTTGGTTCGACGCTGGAAAGAGTTTGAACCAGGCTTTATTCCCAAAACACCTATCCAGTTTGCTACGTATGGAATGAGTACCTCTGATACCTCCTCAAGTAAGGCTGTTACCGTGAGAAGGTAGTTCTCTCAGCTTCAAAGCATCCAACATATTATTAAAATCTTGAAAGGTGGATTCACATCTTCTAGGACCTCCCACTTTCTCCCCATTGTGCCTGATTTCGTTCCAGTCTCCAAGCAAACAGCATGGAGCCATTCTTTGCACTCCAATTCTTGTGATCCTTTCCCAAAGTTTAGGGCGATTTTTTTTAGCCGGTTCTCCATAAACACAAGATACAAAATAATTACTAGAGCCAAACTGTACACCGAAGTCAACCAAATTCTTATCAACGAACTTGACATCAATACTAACAGAATTTTTCCACAAAAGAGCCAGTCCCCCACTGAGACCCACCGGGGCGACCGTCAAAATCCGATCATAACCAAGCCAAACTTGCAAGTCCACCAAAACATTTCTACTACTCTTAGTTTCCATTAAAAACAATATATCAGGGAAGATGTCACGTCTCATCTCCCTCAAACGAGGAATCACCAAATCTTCGACACGGCCCAAGCCTTGGCAATTCCAACTGATCATTGTCATTTAAGGATTGGTGGTCCCGAATGGTTTCTTAAACCTTGCAGAGTGTTGGGATGTCTCCACAGCTGTTGGTGCTTTCCTCTTTTCAGCTCCAGCAATCTGTTTACCGTTCTTCTTCACTATCTCTTGTCCCACTTTAACCAAAAGATTTTTCCTTGCTTTACGTTTGTATGTACCAGGCTGTTTCCTCGGTTTGGTCCCGGAAGTGCTAGCATCATAAACA